GTTTTTCCCCCCCCCCCCCCCCGCTTGCTTCGATATTGCTGGGCTGAACCTGGTGGCGGGAGCAGCCCTTCGCTCCTGCGCTCAGACAGAGCCCTCGGGAAAAGGCTGCACCTGCCCAGCCGCAGCCCGGAGAAGGCGGCAGCCATCCCGAGCTACCAAAAGCTCCCGGCCGCTTCGGGGAAGGGCAGCGGGGGGCTCAATACTGAGAAATGCAGAAAAACAAAACCACACACCGGGAAGAAACACGTTTACAGATGTCCAAACGACCCTGGTCTGCCAGCTCCTACGGGTGCCAACCTACTGGGAGCCCTGGGAGCCTGGGGGAAAAGGCCGTGTTGTGACCCCTTGGGAGGGGGTGCAGCAGCTCAAGCGCTCAGGGGGCCAGTTTTGACCCAGACGTGCACAAAGAGCATCCTACAGCCGCGCCTGCCTTACCCCTTTGGCCTTCCTGTTCTGCTTCGGGAGCAGCAGGCGCGTTTTGCCTCCTCTGGGGAGCAGGCTCCGTCCCGCACCTAGCAGCGGGAACACGAGGAAGAGCCGGGACCACGCGGCCCTAAGGGTCCCGTTGGCGCCCGGTGAGCGTCTGCCAGGCGGGTCCCCGCTTTGCGCCCCCCCACCTGCGCGGGAACGACGGTTCTTCCCGCTGTCCTTGGGGCCCAACTCAGCTCAGCGGTAACAAGAAAGATGACGCACGGCTCTGGAAGGGGCTCTAGGCAGAAAGAGTCCAGCCACTGAATCAATCATTGCGAGGGACAAAAACGACCAAGATCACCGCGGACTGTCCAGCCTCAGAGAAATGCCATCACAAACAGGGGCCTGCTAGAGATCCTGCACTTACAAGTTGAGCAGGAAGGTAGGTTTAAAAAAAAATAAAAGCTTGGGGTGGGCAAACAGGTGAAGAGAAAGCACAGTAGTTCCTCCTTCATCAAGCAGGGCAGGATACCTTGTGCCACTTTTCCTCTTTCCCAGCGGACAGAGGTTTTGAGGAACACAAACACCCTCCTCTCCAGTTTTTCTCCTTCTAGGTAGGCTCTGTGGCCCTATGGATGCTTACGTGGTGCATTAACCAGGCTTGAGAGTCACTCAGGTGGAAGGACAGAATTTTTGCAAGGAATGAACCTGCTGTAGAAGCGCGTTGGCACTGGGGAGCTGAACCTTTCCTCTGGCACGCACTCCTCCAGTAGCTAGGGGTTCAGCGCCCGATCACCACCGCGCGCTCTCCTCCACGTTCCAAAGCCTCCTTTTCCGCTGCCAGCCGTTCCAGGATGGTTTTCTGCAGCAACGGTGCATTTGCTCCTCTTACAACAGCGACTAGTTCTCCTCTCTGAAAGTTATGAGACGCGAGTCAGTCAGTAAGTTCTCAGGTGGGCCTCTCAAAATCACCAGAGCAGCACATGCCTGTGACAGCAGCGAGCTCCTGCAGTAGCAGGAGGCTGAACCTGAAGACCCTGCAGGACAACACGTACGCCCACATGGTGGGAACACTATTCACATGGACTCACCTGTCACAAGACCCTGTGGGCACGCGTGTGTTTCAGTATGCCACTGAATCAGGGATCCCTGAGCGCAATCACGGATTTTCATGACTAGGACACTGGCTCAGGGAGGGGAAAAGGTCCAAGAAATACAGCCCTCCAACAGAGGCTACACAGACTTGCCCACAGACAAAGAAAACAAAACAAAACAAAAAAAAAACCCAAACCCATTTGACAACCTCTAGTTGGAGAAAGCCTTCCTGTAACTTTGTGCCTTCTGCCTGCCTTTCATCCACCTGTGCAGTTACCTTAAATTACTTTACTTCATCCATATGGTGTATCTTCATCTCTCCCTTGTTATTTATTAATAAAGCAAAGTCATATAATAAAGCAAAGTTCTTGTTGCCTGGGGGCAAGGCAGAAGGTATTTAAAGATAAAGCCTGGCTGTACATTCTTATGCACGCAGCACTTGACCACCAGCAGATACTAGCAGATATTGGCAGATACAAATACAGAGCAAACAACACTGGTGAAAACATGAAAAGAGCATCTAAGAGGACAATCGTTCCCATGGGCAGGTCAGGCTTATTGCTCTATACAACTATTGTAAAAGCATTTTCACTCACTGCGTAAAACAGGAAGACAGGCTCGCATTTTCCTCTGTATTTCTCCAGAGCATCAATGGAATCAACTTCAGCCTAAAAGGAATGTAAAATTAAAAAAAGTGTTTCTAGAAAAATGATTCTGCTTCAGAGGAATATATATACATGTGAAATGGCATGAAGAAATATCAGATGTGGTTGGCTTTGTTCATTTGAAGGTTTGGAAAGGGTTTTTAACCTTTTTTTTTTAATTATACGTCACCATTAGTGACGTTAAAGTGGCAAGACTGTAACATGCATAAGCTGGGCCCTAGACATAGGTAGCTGCTGTGGGCAGCAGATCTGCTGCAGAAGAGCTGCAGGCCTCTGGCCTGGCTCACACCTCCGTCCTGGCGAAACACCACTTGGTTTGACTTGAGCCTGTGTATGTGTATGAGTAGGCATAGCCTGTATTCTTCGCCCTTAACCAGCCAGGGTTGAGCAGCGTCACTGCAAAATGGTGTCTTGCACCCGTGCAACCAAACCCCCAAAAGCCTGATTTAAATTACTTCGAAACACTGATGGCTGGAGGAGAGTTGCGGACGGGCAGAGCTGTCTCAGCGCGTCGCTGGCACGCCTGTGCTTGGATGGTAGAAGTACTGTGGTGGCCCTAGGACAGCTAACAGCCCCCCCGGCCCCTAGTGATAGCTTTGTCCCCACATTGCCTCCACCCTTGCAAGCCTCTGCTCTGCCAGAGGGACCAGGAGTTAGGCCAGTCAGCCGGGAGATGTTGCATCCACGGTCGGGATGAGCAGATGACCTGCTGCCTTGTGGTCAGTTGTTTCATACGGCCAGGCAAGCTTTCTTGTCCTATTATGGCCCAGGTTAGCTTTAGCAGCCACATTTCTACAGTCTCAAACAGGAGAGTGACGTGCTGTTATCACTGATGCTACTGCCTAAGTGGGAGGCCAGGAAAGCCTGTTGTTCTCATGTATCCAAGACACGGACAGTGACGGGCCCAACTCATCCAACTTCTTCTACAGCTTCCTCCTGGGGTGAGAGATGACCTCAAAGACAAAAGGCAGGTGTAGCATGGGAGTCTTCCCCCTTCCTCAAAGTCATTGGGGCAGAACTAGCATCTGGCAACATACAGGGAACACGACGCACAAAACAACGTAAGATACCAGGTAGCACACAGAGGCTTACGGGAGTCCAGATTCACTGCTATTTGATCTTGCTGATTCGGAGGCTGACATCTCTTCCAGCAGGCGATCGGTGTCACCGCTCATTAATTCAGACCCCATTTTCAAAGACTGATACTTTTTCTGACAGGCCTCCGCTAGAAACCTCACTGCCCACAGCTCATTTAGCAATTGCCCTTCGAGAGCTGGCATTCAGCCTGCTAAGGCATTTAGCACAGAATCACAGCATGACTGAAGTAGGAAGGGACCTCCGAAGGGCTCTAGGCCAAGCCTCTGCCCAAGCAGGGCTAGCCTCAGTGTTACAGGAGGTTGCTCAAGGCTGTGCGCAATTGAGTTCTGAACGTCTCCAAGAATCAATATTTCAGTGTCTGGGAACCTCTTCCAGTTTTTGACCACTGTTGGTGAACACTTTTTCCCTTATATCTACCTGGAATTTTCCTTGCTGCAACTTGTGCCTGTTGTCTCTTGTTGTTCTGCTGTGCACCACTGAGAAGAGTCTGGCTCTGTGTTGTCTATAACCCCCCGTAAGACAGTTGAAGACAGCAATTAGAGCTGCCCCTTAGTCTTCTCTTCCCCTGGCCAAACAAACCCATCTCCTTCAGCCTTTTCCTGTACATGAGATGAGCACGTGTGCTGCTGGTCCTAGCAGCACACAGCTAGGACCAGCTGTCTAGTGCAAACAGCTTAGATAGTTTGCTGAATGCTGCAGAAACAAATACCTTGAAAAAGTTTGTGTCACTGAACGCACATCTGCCAACAAACTTGTCATCTTGCCAAAGAACAAGAACCAGTTTATGGCAGGGTTAGAGCAAGATCTGGAACGTGGTAAAATAGGAAACAAATGAAGAACAATGATCAGTTGTCTTCAAACCTCCTCTTTGGAGAAGGAAACTGAAAAGTGCAGAAAAATACAAGCCAAAAAATTCTCACTGATATCAGCTCTGTCTGTCTCTCTCTCTCTGCGGGGGTTCAGCGTCCTTACTCGCACAAGCTTTAAGTCCTAGCTTGTTACCATTTTGGCTCAATATTGTAAAGATAAATGACTTCAACCTTTAGTTACCCGCTATTTCAGGGGAAAGGATATTTGAAGCAGTGCCACATTTTATCTTACCACAGCAAAATGCAGGAGGTCACTGCCAACTTCATTCCTTATTTTTTGGAAAAGGTCCACCACTGTTTTGCATGGACCACACCAGGCTTGAAATGCATCAACAACTGCAAACAGGAAAATCAGTAAGAACAAGGTTAACACGGTTCAGCGTAGAGATTATATTCCAATAGGTTAGTTTGTGCAGTTTTCCACTTTGCAACCTAACCATTTAGGGAGTGCCTGCAAAAGGCTGTTAGTGCAATAACAGGAATCGCCAAAACCTTTAAGGACTGAGACCCCTCTTCTCTGGAGACCTGTGGTCTGGAGACCCAGTGCTGCACCATCCTCCTGGGGAAAGAGATTTTCCTAATGCCCAGCCTGAACCTCCCAAGCTGCAACCTGTGGCTGTTGCCCCATAGATCTGTTTGAAGTACGGCACAGTTCTTGTTGAACACCGAAAAGTGCTACGGATTCAATTCTGAAGTACAAACTGTCATATTCTTTCAAAGTTTCAGTCACTAGATCACGGAGGGTGAAATCACATGGCACATAACAAGGTAATAACAACACTATGGAGGAGCCTTTGGAAGAAACATTTACACTGCTGTGACCTCGGGAGCATCAGATCTTCTAGGGAAAATTGCTGCACAGAGGAAGAGCGCTTGTGGCCTACTTAGTCATCCCTCCATCCTTGAGAGCCAGGGCTCTTCCCTGCACTGGGGACAGTCCTGCTCTGAGCAGGTGGCTGGACTAGAGACTCCTCCAACAGCACTGCTGTGACCGTTTGATAACTGTCCTGCGTAAGCCAGGAAGACAGTGGGACTTCCAGCTAGTCTCTCCTCTGCTAGGATGTTTCCTATTTCCATTCAGGGCAAGAGGAATGGAAGGACCAACTGAACCTTCATGTCAGCAGCAACCGATTCCTAACAGCACTGGAGTCCTCTTAACATCGAACAAAAGCAATCTCATATGCTGGCCCAACCCTTACCAATGAGTCCTTTGAGACACAGCATTTCTTCCCAAAGCTCCTGGTGATTGATGTTAATCTGTGTGAAAATTAAAAAACACAGTAAGAGCAACAGTGAGTCATTAGGTTATCCAGTTGCTGTAAAGAAACGTGCATCGAGCTGAACTCAGGGAGCCCCCACACCCGAGCTCTCGCTCCTTCCCTCCCTCCCACAGGCTCTTACTCCTCCCCGACGCCAGCTCTCTCACAGAGACCCACCGGCGAGCCAGCTAACCCTGAAGAAAAGTCTAGTGGATTAGGACTTGGTTAGGCTCACAAGAAGCTAGGGAAGGCATACGGAAAGAGCAAGCCTTCCCCTTTTTAGTAGCTGCGACTGTTTGGACAGCCCAGCTGCTTGGGGACCCCAGCCCCAGTTCGCAGAGAGACTGAATTCTTCTGAGTGGGGTGACTGGGTAGTTGGCCCCCTGCATCTTAGCAGGCCATCAATGTCACGGCTGACTGGCCAGAGTCCTCGCTGAACCCACCAGTCCGTGCTGGGTATGGTGCAAGAGGGAAGACCGGCGAAACACCCCTACAACCTCAGGTTTTTCCTGGCGCCCTCCTGCAGTTATGGCAACACAACTCCTTCTGGGGCTATGCAGCAATAGCAGAGAGCAGGGAAAGCTCCAGCTGTTCCTCCTGTGCCTCGACTGAGCTTGCAGCCTGGTAGCTGTGTCAGCACTGGAAACAGCAGCAGGGATGAATGACTGAGGGACCCTGAGCCCCCTACCTCACACTCTTGCCACAGAAGAGACGCAAAGAACTTCTTTGCTGTGACCTAAATGGGAGTCTGTGATCTACAAAAGGTGTCTTAACACAGTCTTACAGCCAGAAGCAGTAGGAGCTGCTGGCAGATGACTGACCGGTCCTCCACAGGCTGCTCGATCACAGTGCGAGAACTGTGGACTTGGAGGACACAAGCACACCCCCTGCGAGGCCACAGCACAGTGTTGTTCCCATGGGCTTCTTCCCCATCAGTGCAACCTTGTGGCTCAAAAGCAGCAGTGAGAAGGTAGCCATTCAGTACTCCTTTCGATCTTAGTGGGACAAAAGATGGCTTGCCAGCCAAACTAAAGCCCTGGACACATTGCCTAACAAATGACTAGTGAAATACCCACCTTTCCAGGCCAGGCACTCCCTCTGCTTGCCCTGGTCTGGTCCTGGCTCTCATCAGGGCTCCTCCGTGAGCTGATCTAACTCACTAGTCCAGAGGAAAAATATCCCAGAAAAAGCCCTGAGTAGTTTTTCCCCAGCGTAAGTAAGTTATTTAAATGACCGATTACAATTGACAATATTGCTTCGTTATTGCTACGCTATTGCTACTGAGATAGAAGCTGTGGTTTGTAATACTAGAAACGATTCGATTCTTGTGCTCTTTGCAGGCCTGCGTGATCTAGGAGGCTCCAGGATGACTCTGTGCACCCTCAACGTTTCTCTGCCTGGTCTGGAGCGTGGGCTGAACTTCCAGCATCCCGTGTGCTGCTTCAACGTGCTTGCTTCCAGCACGCCTTCTCCATTCCGTGCTCCTATTTTGGACCTGGGCCTCATCAAATTTATAAGCCAGATGGTTCCCCACCAGCATTTTCTCAATGTGCCTCCATACAAGCTACACTACTTTGTTGAGATGTTTGAGCCTTGAAGCAAAAAACAACTAGTAAATACATGACTTTGGTCTTCCTGGTGTCTGGGCGCTAGAGGGTAGGCAGAGCGCAGGACATCCTTACCTGAATTTGAAGCCAGTGGCTATTTAAAGACTCCCAAAGCATAGCAAACAAAGATCTAGGTTGGAAGGGATCTCTGGAGCCTCTAGTCCAAACCCCTCCTCAAAGGTCAGCATTGTATCAGGTTGCTCAGGGCACTGTCCAGTCAAAGATGTCCTAGACAATTCCTTATGCTGGGCTAAGTACTATTTTTATCCTACAGTTCCTATGCTGTTATTAGAAATGAGAAAATCTTTGGTCTTCTCCCCAGCTTACAGCACTTACCCCTCAGCTTGCACTCAGAAATACAAAGTGCAAGAGAAGGCTTCTCAAAACATTTAAGATCCATTTGGTTCATCCTGAGCAATGAAGATTCGTAATAGCTTTCCCAATTGATATAATTAATCCTAATTGCATGTAGTCCACACTGAAAGACAGTAAGTTGCAATAAGGCTAGCTATTATTCAATAGCTATTAACACCAACATGCATTAAGGACTGCTAAAATTGCAAAGTCAGGATTTCCCAAGACTGGAAATTCCAGTGCAAACTTAACCGCCTTTCTTACAGATTCTCTTTCAGAAATGTCACTGGAGATCATATAGTACAGTTTCTCCAGGACCTTGCCTCATTTAGAGAGCGAGGAGTTATTAAAACGCCTCCATCTGTTTTCCTGTTCAGCACGTAACCCCCAGCCTAATTTCTTCCAGAGAACACCTGCAGAATTAAGACATTTATTTCAGGTGTTCCTGGTGCTAGGACCACCCTAGGAGTGTTTCACAAAAGCTTAATCAGTGTTCACTGATTTATGACGATGATAATTTGTGATAATGAGTTCAGCTGGGAGTTCAACTGATGGACTCAAAGTAATGCCTACACTGATCAAAGTGCTCTGCTAATTTGGATGCCCAGAGGCAGCTGGGACCTGGCTTTTCTCTCACATTCCCAGAACTTTTCGCATCGCCTTCTTCATGAGGCTCAGCTTTCATCTGCACCTGCAAACAGTCACCCTTTTGCAGATCTAGACCCAGCCCTCCCATACTGGGTGCACACTTAGTTGCCAAAGGTGCAAATTCTGCTTGAATCAACTTTCCCATCAAACGGGGACATAGTGGGATATGCAGCAGCAGAAAGGCATTTCTACCTTAACAAAGCGACCATCTTTCTCTTCTTACACAAACGTTCACCTTTTTCACCCCATGCTTTCCAATTTTTGCAGTGAACGACCAGGGTCATAGAACCAAGAATCACCTTCAGTGTTTTTCTCTCTTGAGAAGACTGGACTTGTTTCAAAATTTGATGCAAGCTTCCATGACCTACTTTGGCTTTTTTGCTTCTGCTTATTGACTCTCCCTGTTAGCCACTTGCATCTTGTTTTCAATTTGTTTAACTTCAATCAATTTTTTTGCTTACTAAACTGCCTTCAGAAATCCTTTCCCTATGCAGGTAGTTATAAGGCACCATCAAGTCACGTCCATGATGTAAATAGAGGAAAATCCCTATGAAATAGTTTTTTCAGCCTTTTAATTGTTTTTGCATCTCAAACTTTCTCCAACTTCCCAGTGACCTTTCTTAAGTATTTGAACTGGTCAGATACATTCCATGACAGGCATCAAATTTTCAGGAGCAAGCCCCCAGATCCCTACACTTCTAAATGTCCTCTGAACAAGTCTCTTGTGAAACACGGGTGGCATTTTGATTTCTGAAAACAGCCAGACCACGTGACAGTACCAGCATGTAACACCTCCGAGATCAGAGTTTGCCTAGAAGTAAACTCTGCACCCTTGATTCTGACTTTGGCAAAGCATCGCTTCTAGGGACAGGTTTGACCTGCCAGGTCTTCCCATGCTTCCTACCTGCCTTCAGGAGCACATTTCCAGCACTGGCACCTCTCAGTAGAGCTTGACCAGCAGAGTGTGGGACACCCAGAGTTTTATTCTTTGCACTTGTTGTAAGTTTAAAAGACGCTTTAAAAGGCACTTCCCACCACAGCTGGTTCCTACTGACCTGAAGCACCACCTCCTTTCTCTTTGCAGCCATTCCTCCCCAGCAACGGGGTCCTTCGAGCAGCAGTCCCGAACCCAAAACACGTCAGTCCTCTTCTACCTACGTGAATCCAACTGCTGGCCGACCTGCACCACAGAGAGAGTCTTCTTACCCCTCTTTCCTCCTCCATCCGGCACCGACCACCTTGGGCAGGTCCCTGCCTGTCGGAGGGAACGGTATTGGTTTGGCAGGACCCGAGGCCCACCTGTGGCCCTGCTCAGGTCCTTTTTACGGAGACAGGGGGCTACGGCGGGGCCTGAAACGCGGCACGCTTCCAGAAACGCAGCAGCCCCGGCTGGAAGATGCCCTCGTGCCTCCCTCGGGCTGGCGCAGCTGGACCCTGGAGGCAGCGAGGGAACGGCCGGGTGACCCGAGAGGCCCCCAGCCCTCCGAGGAGCCGGGGCCCGGTGCCAGCAGTACCTACGCGGCGCCGGCAGCCCCAGCGCGGCCCTGGCA